CCACATATGTCGAGGTAAAGAGAAGAGTTCAAAGAGGTCAGAATTGATGGAGTGAAGAAAAGAGGGTGTAAAAAGGAGGCCAGAAAGGGTGACCTAAATGTAGTTTAAGCTTCAAGGTTATTCCTCGTCTTCCTCTTCATCACCTCTTGCTTCCTCACCTCTTGCTTCCTCACCTCGCCGGGTCTTTTTTACGATGTGGGGGGTCACTGGTAATTATCTGCTTGTGTCAATCCTAGGAGGCTCAGCAGGACACCGGGTCACCTGTGATTCTGATTGAGGTCCTGGGCATTCACACTCAAGCACACACACACACACACACACACACATACTCAAACACACACACTTGCATACATGGCGACGCAGCAGCAGGCGAATGCGCGCCGTTTCATTACGCTTCTGATTTGGTCATTCATCACGAGGAGATGAGGTCACACACAGCAGCCGACACATGTTTATGTCTGCAGAGACTATATGTGTGTGTGCCTGGAGGTGTGCATTGTTGTGTTTGTTTGCATGTGTGTGGCTGTGTTTGTATGAAACAAGAACGGGCTCGGGGATTCAACTGAACAGTTCTTCACAGATTAAACATTTAAATTCAGGCGCAGGTGATTGTATGTCGGAAGCACCTGATTTCAGGGTGTATTATAGACTGTATAAAAAAAGACGTGTTACCTCACCCATTGTTTTCTGAAAAAGGTGCTGAAGCGAAACGATGGTTGCCGCCATGTTTGAAATGCTATCTCTAACCAACTTTGGGTCAAGCTGGAAAAAGACCAAGAGGTGGAATTGAAGCCGGCCTTAAGCCACCTGGCCATCAGCGACAACATGCTCACCTGTCAGTCAAACTAGTCCTGCACTTTATTTGCCCCCAACTACAGTTTTACCAAAAAAATAAACGAGGTAAAGAGACCACAACTGTTTCATGAACCAGGCTGTAAACGTGTTTATTTCTCCTGTAAATAAAAAATATATTTTTTGCAATTGTGTCATTTTCAGGTGTTCAAATTAAGGTGTATTATGATGTAACTTTTTATAAGGATGATCTTTTTTAGGGAATTTTTCCTTTATTGGACAGCTGAAGAGAGACAGTAAACATTGGGAGGAGAGAGTGGGGGCTGACATGCTGCAAAGGGCCAAGGTCAGATTTGAAACCTACAGCCACTGCGACTAGGACTATTAAAGCCTCTGTTCACGGGGCTTGCGATGTGACAGCTAGGCTATCTGTCGCCCCATTACATCACTTTTTCAGTAGAAAGGAAAGGATTCAGTTGTATGTGAATAGGGCAATCATTTTGTTTTCATGTTTAAACCAGGTTAGTCTGTGAGGACGTTGAGTGCTCTGTTATTAAAGTAGTTCACAAAGGGTTTCCAGGTCTGATAGAGTTGTACCCTTCCTTTAAAGAACAATGGTTTGATTTTGAAACTGTTTTGATGCTTCAAAAGTTTCTAAGCAGCAATCTGGGCAACAAAAAAAAAAAGTGATATTTTTAAGTTCTGACTGCAATTTCCTGCTTAAAATGTTGATTTATGTCTTTCTCCAAACTTGCAGTCCAATAACTCTGGCCACAGATAAACTGAGAAATCAAAGAGTTGAAGGCAGAAAAACAGATAAAGAACTAAACGTGTCCTCGAAATGAAGCCATGTGACGGAAAAACCTCGGATTTCTACAAAAGTATTAAAGCCGTGATGAGGATTTGACTTTTGAGAAACACATTCAGGTGTATCACAGAAATACAGAGGGCTTCATTAGAAGATGCTTCCACAAATGTATTTTAATATATGCACACCTCAGATGAATGTTAAGCGCGGTGCATAAATTGCGTCCTCCTCGCTAAGCTAATGTATGAATGGACTTTGTGTGCATGTCCCTGTGTGGGTGTTGTGAGACAGCGATCGCCTGCTTCAGTTCAGAGACACAAACACACACTGATCAAAGCTCTGCTCTGGCCTCAGTTCACTAACCTCGGCGATGTGTGTGTGTGTGTGTGTGTGTGTGTGTGTCTCTTGTATGTGTGTGTGGTGGCAGAAATGATGCTGACTGCAAAAACACAAGCTCTATTTTTAAGCACACAAACTCTGCAGTGATCGCAATGGATTTCACACCTCAGTTTTCAGTTCCTGATCATACTTCTGATAAACGTAGAAATATGAAAATAAGGAATCGGGAGGGGGGGGACATGCACCCCAACCTGTTTTAGACTGAGGCATTGAACCTTATCAGGCTATATATTAACCTGTTCAAATTGAAATGTTGATTAAAATAAATAAAACGGTTACAAATGGAAAATGTAGTTTGTTTCCTTAAAAATAAATCTGATAAAAATGAACTGAAACATCTGGATCTTCGTTTGATTCCCAACAGCTTCGTCGTCGGTGGCTTGATCTCTTTGCTTTTGTTATGTTGCCACCTAGTGGTCAATCTCAGACATTACCACATAATGAGACTGGTGAGAGATGTTTTTGCACATATGGAAAAGTGTTTCAGTTGAAAAAGGGAATCATTTAAAAGGGTTAGTCCACACACATTGCCTTGGCTGATTATTAATCATCAAAGCAATTTGTCATTTTATTTGTTTTCAAATAGATAACAGAACAAATTGTTAAATTATTTGTCTCAGTTTCTATACATATTAAAGATTCTGAGCATGTGTTAGGGAGTCCACACAAAAGTGACAAAATGATCTATACAGATGATGTCAGTATTGTTCCTCAAGGACAACCAAACTGTATTTAACTCAACTCACAAGTCAACCAACTGTGATGTGTTCTTTTATTCTGGTTGCAAAAGTAGGAAACCAATTACATCAAAACACAATTAGTGTGTGTCATAGCTTCGGGACATTAACTGTGAGGAAACATTAACTAAAGCTTAAGGGAAATTGATTTTAGTAATAGTTTTTTGTAAGGCTGATATAATAATTGTCAAAGGCTGAATAAGTCAGTCCAATAATTTCTTGTGATCTTAATTGAGTAATTGGTTGGTAACCTGCCCGTCAGCTACATCTCTACCAACCTGCCAACGTTAATGGCTGTGAGAAGAAGAATGTACTACAAAGTGAGTTAAACACAAACAGGATATCTATCGGTTATCTTGTTTCACTAACCCTGACTAATGAGATCTCCCTAAGCCGTCAAAAGAAGCTGGTTGTCATCTCGATAAAATCAACCCAGAGCGCGCTCACATGAATAAAGCATAACTTACCATGATGTGAGACACCTTGGTAGTACTGAAAACAAAGAGTTAACCCGGAAATTATGTCACTAACTGCACTTCCTGCTTTCTAGTACAGGCCTATTTACTACAACAAGCTAACACTAGAAGCTAAAGCTGCAGGAACAGCCAAGAAACAAAGTTGACCACAGTTGGGAGCATGTTTCTTTGTTTCAGGAAAAGGCATCTAAGAGAGGCCTGAAAAGATTGTCATACCCTAGCTGAAGTTCAGTTTTAGGTATTCTTTACTCTATTACTTACTTCTGTCATGGCTCAGCACACCTTTATGTTTATGTGTTTGTTGTTTCCAGTATGTTTTGTTCCCTCACCTTCCACTCATGAGCCTCTTACTTCCTGTTGTGTGTTTTTCCCCGCCCCTGGGAGGAGTCTCACTTTCAATGTATTTGGTGTTTTTCTTCCACTGTTTCTTTAAGTATTCATTATCATTACAAGTGCTAAGCTTTCCAGAAGTTTTTATACCATGTCCTTTTTCTTTCATTTTCTTGACTTGTTTGCTTTGGGTAACTTCCTGTTTGCTCCTTTAAAGTCCTCAGATATTTTCCTTTTTGTCAGTCATCTGCTCTTAAAGCTTTGGCATTGTCTGTCTGCTTTTGACCCGCTCCACTCTAGCTATGTAATATTCCACATGCATGATATCCACAAGACACATGCAGCCTTTTTATAGTTTGGTTCTTTTTGTTTAAGTGAAAAGATATCTGTCTGTTATCACTCAGCTGCCAACCGCTGGCTGTGGCTCAATGGTATAGTCCGTCATCTCTTTGGTTTTGGTTTTTTGGTTTTATCCCCAGCTACTACAAACACATATCCAATGTGTCATTGGGCAAGACACTTAACCCCAAGTTTGTCCCACAGTCACTTTCCATAGCAACCTCTACCGTCAGTGTGTGAATGTGTAGGTGTGACCTGCGGTGTAAAAGCGCTTTGAGTAGTAAGAAGACTAGAAAAGTGATATAAAAGCTCAGGTCCATTAACCAATAAACATAAAAACATAGTTAGAAAAATGTGTTTTTTTTTTTATTCACACAGCATTTAAAGTGACATTTTTTTAAATTGAACATCATAGTATTTCAAAAATATTTGCTCTCTTTGCTCTTAAATGTGCCTCGAGCTCGTTGTTAATGTTTTTTTTATTTTTTAAACTACTTAAAATAAAGAATGTTATCGGGAATTTGAAAGTAAAAGTAACTACGTTTCTGGAGGCAAAATAGAAATCTCATTATCAATCTCAAAAATGGGAAATTAAAACCAAGGTTGTAGTCAGATGTTCATGTTTGTTTTTTGTTGTTTACCCTTACCGGTAAGTCAACACAATACACGTCACTTTAAGGAGGCAAACATTTTTATTAAGACAGTCATTTATCGAGGCACTTGACACAAGCCATGAAATGTACAAATCAAACACAACAAATTGAAGGTCGTTTTTTCACATTCTTGCATCTGTAAACATGATAAAGGTAATACATTCTGACAGTTAATTCACACATTACTGCCCCTCCCCTCCTCCAATAAACTCCTCGCTTAGTGTACAGTTTACAAACCGCTACACAAATTGTACAAAAACAGCAGTGGGGCCAAATACAAAACTACCACCTGACCCTCATTACAGCCCCTCCTCGTTCACGAAAAGTGCACATCTGTCTATTTCACAAAAAGTGTGTCAGAGGTAAACTGTGGATGAGGCATCTAAGTCTATGTAGCAGCACAAAACACACGTCTTTACTTCAGAAAACAGGAAATTATTCAGTGGATATATAAATACATATATTTTTAGCAGGCATGTGCACAGGCAGAGTCTAAATATGTCTCTGTGCTTTGGCTTGTCTTTAAAAAGAGGATGTAAACACAGATTTTTCACTATAACTAGGGATGTTCCCAGCGGCTAAATTCAAATTAGACAAACACATGTTTAAATTCAGACTTGTCGAGTAGTCAAAAAGTTAGGAAAACACAATTGTGACTGAACACAGGATCGCAGCATGTGGCATGTTAGCAGTGTTAGCGCCGCCAACCTTCGAGCCTCCTTGCAGGTTAAATGTCACTGTCCCCTTTAAAAGACATAAAATAATACACAAGAGCCCCATTTTGTAGACGAAGTTAGGGCCTTATATACTGTATATATATTTATGTTAAGTTCAAGTCCATGCACTTCTGTTGTTGTTGTTACTGTTGTTTTAAATGCACATGTTTTTTCACATTATCTTTGTATTTGTTTATGTATTTGCTTTTTTTTAATATCTTTTTATACTATTGCAGTTTGCACCATGGTTCTATTCAGAGAACTATTTTTCGTTTTTTTCTGTATGTCAGGTGCGTATGGCAAAATTGACAAAAAAGACGACTTTGACTTTGAAAAATGTGGCTAACGCGTTGCTTCGATCAAGTGGTTGTTTCCCAGTTTAACCGAAAACTGATCAAAATACTGCCGATCCGCTTTGCTCCTATGAAATGCTATCCAGTCACTGTGCTTGTTTACATCCGGGTGGTAGAGCATTAATCGCAGTAGTATTATGGGAGCCCCTGTGCCGACTGGCGAGGGGGGCGAATTCATTTTGTCTAACCAGCTTATCGCACACATCTCTAATAATAACTCGATCAACTTTCCTTATGCCACCTGTCAATCTCAAAAACACTTAATTCTCACATTTTTATCCCTTTAAATTTTTGTGATGTTAGCAACAACAAAAACTAATGTCTGTGCACATGTCTGCTTATTAGAAACGTCTGAGGCCACAAAAACATTATTTCAGGTGTGTGAGGGTGGATAAGGCTGCTGCTGGGCTACTGATTTCACATAATGAGGTTTGAATGTAGAAAAAGCTACCGCTCAAGTTTCAAAGCGTTTGGACATTCGAACACCCCTGATGTCCTGTAGTGGAGCTGAGGCCCGTCTGAAGAAACATCCAGAGTAAACATCTGGCTCAGCTGGTGCTCACATCAGTACAGGGGTATGTGTCAGTAAGGCTGTTTATAAGGCCGACCCGAAAACACTAACTAACACTTGTTTCAGTTCCTTACATCAAATACGTGAAAACATATTTGAAAACAACGTCTGTGTGTCAGCAGAGGTCATGTCTTCAGTGATTTTTAGCTTCAATTAATTAGAATTTGTTTTAGTATTTGTAGTTTGAACCACCTGAGAGGGAGTCTTTATTATAAAATTACATATAAAACACTCATCATGGGATACCTTTGCCAAGATTCAATTCATGGCTGAGTGAAGGCGGGTTTCATTGAGGGAAAATATTCTTGATTTGTAAATTTAGAAGTAATAAAATGCAATAAAAAGTGCTGATTAGTCACTTTAACTGTTTGTTCTGTTGACTTGTCAAACACTTTTTTGGCACAGAGGGGCTGCAGTGTAAGATAAGGACCTCAGTATTTTTAAACTGGCACATTTGTAAACTCTTGGTTACAGCCCCGTGTAGTGATAGCAGTTCAAACGCTGCGTTTTAGCTCTTTTTTTCAGGGAAACTGTGATTGTTGAAGTACAGTAGTGTTTTCACTGCTGCATGTTAAAACCTTCAGGCCCTCCAGTCTGATGCTAAATAACATGAAGAAGTTAAAGTGAAGTTGATGCTCAGCCTGCTGCCATCTCTAAGACTTCCAGGCTGATTTGTGTCTCTGTTTCATGTTTATGTTTTAGACCTGTTTGTGACAACATGGCCACGTTTTCACATTTAATCCCTTACATGCTCTGTATCAGGAATCTTTTTTTTTTTTATCCCATTGAGAACATGCGACCAATCTGCCAGCTCACACTTACACAGATATATAAACACCTTCTTCTTCTTCTTTTTTTTTTTTTTTTACACCTGTGCAAACGTACTATGTAAGCCTGTTAGCCTTGTTAGCTTGTTAGCCTGTCCCGTTCTGCGGGGTGAGGCTCTCCCAGGGGCAGATGATCTCTTTGGCTCCCACCCCTCCTCCCCGAGAGGCAGCTCTGTTCTCCTCTTCCTCGTCCTCAGACTCTATGGGGTATATCCGACACTCTGGAGGAATGTCCACTTTGATCTGGAAGAAACTGTGAGAAATACAAATTATTTTTAAGGACCAGTGAGCAGGGGTGTGTCCAGAATTCTTGAGTAGGGGGGGCAGAAATGGGGCACCAACTTTTTCAGGGGTGGTAAAAAGTATCTAAGAGAACACAGGCATTGATTTAACATTTCTGTCTCCAATGCTCATATCAAGTCTAGAATTGATTATTAACAATAATTATTATTATTTAAATTGTGTTTAAAGGTGCAGAGTGATTTGATTGGCTCAAAACTGTGAACTTGAAAGATAAAAAGTGTGTTGTAGATATTTCATGAACACCTTTTTTGGTGAGCGGTTTAATCACTCACTTGCCAATCCGTCTGGGCGGAGCCTGACTCGGCTGATCCGGGCTGATTGGCTGAATCCGGCTACTCGTCCCGGCAGCCGAGTGGCATTTTGGCGACAGGCTGGCGAACATGTTAGAGGGCGTGCAGCCTCGCTTCAGCAGACGTCGCAGGGACAACGCCATGCGGGACTTGGACACGTGTCCGACCACCGTGGCTCGAGTCCCAGAGTTCCCGTCACTGTCGCCTTCACTGGGCTCCGCACGGCGCTCGGACGCAGACGTGCTGTCCAAGGCCAGGCTGATGGGGGACGGACAAACCGGGGTGTTGGCCATGAAAGGTAGGGAGGGTGAGGCGTTGCAGGAGGGGAAGTCAGAGATGCCGGAGTAGACGGCAAGGTGAGGGACGGGAGTGGTGAAGCGACAGATCTGTGAGGTCAAAGGGCAACAGACACAAGTTTGATAAAATGTTATATATGAAACATTAAGGAACATTTTCTCAATTATTACAAAAATGTTGGTAACTAAATGAGCTTAGACTGTAAATATTAATGGACGAAGCCTGAGTTACTGCAGGGGGCTCTGGAGGCTCATCGGCAGCAGCCACCATGCTGGAAATCCTGTCTCAGCCTAACTTTCAATCAACCTAACGACAGGCTGAGAGCCAGAGTTTAGGCGGGTTCTAAGCCTCTTTATGAACCGTTACATCACGACCACCTGTCAATCATGTCAGCTATGCACCTAACTATGGATAACACGTATCGTTCATAAAATCAAAACAGAGCCGTTTAAAAAAAAAAAAGACCTATTCAGTTTTTTGTACCAGGCTGTAAACATGTTTATTTATGTTGTAATAACGGGCAGTTTTGGTTGTGGTATATATGGGCCTTGCCTCAAGTGGACACTCAATGAACTGCAGGACTTTACACTTCTGCATTTTCTTAATTTTTCAATACCGGAGGTTGCTGCTTGGTCGTGAGGGTTCCTATGGCCAACATGAATGAAGATGGTGATGCATCATAAGGGTTTTATAAAATGTGAACTGATAAGCAGCTGGTGTCTTTTAGGTCTGTCATCATACATCTTACATCTTACATAAGAAAGGATGGGTTCACTTCCAATTATAATCAATAAAGACTCAGGTTATAAAGTATTACATGTGTAACAAGACTTTAGAATACACTGTGAAGAGTTACCTAAATTCTCTTAATATAAATATAAAGCCTACAAAAGTCTTCATTACTTATCAGGCTCCCTCAAATCGCCCCTTGGGGATAACAAAGTTCACCTTGACCCTTTGAATAAGTGAGTTTGAGAACTTTAACTACTTTTTTCTCTCAGTCTCAAACACAGAATATAAACACCTGTAATACATCACTCACATGACTTATTGTGCATCACATCTTTGGAGATGTAGATGTTTGGTGCAAAGACTCCCAGGGTGAAAGAAATAAATATTAAAAGGAAGAGAGACACTGACAGAGAAAAGAAATAATGAACGAGTAATGACAATAAGAATAAGTAAGACAAATAAAGAGGCAATGTGACAAAATGATAGATAGATAGATGGATAGATAGACTGAATGACAACTCAAGGAAAACAGATAAACATGAGGTGATTTCTGGGTGTTTTTTATTAGCTCATGACTGATGACATACAGAGGAAAACAAACAGTACAGACAGTGTGTGAGTGAAGATGGAGAGTTCAACACATTATGAACAACAGCTTGAATGAACAGAAATGTATTAATGTGAACAGATGGTAACAATGTGGGTGTTTTTTTGTCCCTGTTGGATCGTCCTAAGTTGATTTCCAACGGCTTCTTTTTTTGATATCCAGCAAATATAGCGAAACATTTGCATAAGTTTTAGAGTCCTGTTTGCGATCCTGTGCTCAGTCTAAGTTGATTGATCACTCTCCTAGGTACATTTCTGGCTAGTTAGCAGTAAAATACACCTCTCCGTTCGAGCTAGACGCCTGATTTGCCTGCCTTCCACTTGTTGCTGATCAGGTAGTGTGCAGCTCAGAAAAACCCGATGAGAGCTGCAGTAAAGCATTAATGTTGAGAAACCCTCCAGTCAGAACAGTTAGCTAAAAGACGCTAAAAAGCTCTGCAGATTTAAAGGAAACAAATCTGTAAACGGGGGCGATGGTAGCCTAGTTGTTGGTGCATGCGCCCCATGTAGGGAGGCTATAGTCCTCCAAGTGGCCACGGCCCAGCTCCCTTTCTTAAATGTCCTTCCCCACCCCCACTCTCTCTCTCTCCATTGTTTCTGTCTCTATCGACCGTCCAGTCTCGGAAAACAAAAACTACAGCTTCTATTTAAATGACTCAAATAAATATGCCAGTGAAATAAAATGGCTGGTTCGTAGGTATAACTGGACGTCACGTGTTTATTTCTTAGTAGGGGGGCGAGGCGGAGGAGGCGGAGGGACCTCCTTGCCCTGCTTGCTGAGTTTGCTCATGACCTGTGTGATGTCGACACTGGCGGCCATCTTGGCCTTCAGCTCCTGCTCCTGCTGGCGGAGCACGATGGGGCTGAGACTGGGCCGTCTGGTCCTCGCATTCTGCTCCAGCTGGGCGTCACTGAGAGATTTAAAAAAAAAAAGAAAAAAAGAAAAAGAAACAGGAATTAGAAATGTTGAAAAAAAACAAACGAGGGAAAGAAGATGGAAGAGAGAAATATGCAGAGAAAGATAAAAAGAGGGAGGAGGTAAAAGCTCAACCAGTGTCAATCCATAGGCATCATTTGCATCTTTTTTGTTCCTTTCATATGATTTCAGTTTTGTTAAATTCCCAACGACAGCTGGGAAAGTAAAAAAAAAAAAAAAGAAAAAATTAAACACGTGAATTAAAAGTCGTCTTTTACCTAAACTTGTGTTCTTCAGGACATATTGCCTTCTTCAGAGTGTCCTTGAACACAGGAGATTTCAAGTACCGGCCGTATGAGTCCTGCAACACACACACGCACACACACACACACACACACACACACACACACACACACACACACACACACACACACACAGCATGAATCGGAGGTGTTTGGTCACGCTGAGTAGAAGCATGTGTGAAAACAGGGCACCATCATCGATCTTGTTTTTGAAGCCACCTGCTGGGGGAGTTCACTGACCTTCTTCATCAGCATGTAGATGTGAGTTTGGGCCGGGTCCAGCACGTATCTGTGCGGGTGTTTCAGGCCTTTCACCGTGACTTCCATCGTCTTTCCATCGATGTTTATCCAGCGAGGAGCGCCACGAGCCAGGAATGTCCTGGGATCAGGAGAATCGTGATAAAAGACCTCAGAACACTTAAATTGCACTACACACATGATCTCAAATAGGATCCTTGTACCTCACTTGATTATCATCTTTCATACCACTTTATATATTTTACAGCCCTACAAATATCAGATAGCAATAGTTAGAATTTAGTTTTCAATTTTACACCAAAGATTCAACTGAAAAACGTCCCAAGTGCACACATCTTCAGTTTTTAATCATGTAAAAGAATAAGGAAGAGTTAGATGAAACAGCCAGATCTCACATAAAACCTGAAAATGAAAATGTAACCAGAGAATTTTGGATTTTTCCGCCCTTTATTTTTGATTGACCATCCCCAGGTATTCATTAAAATCCTGATACTTTATGATTAATACCTGGCAGATTGATTTCATAACATCGCCAACCTCTTTTTTATTTTCACATTTCAATCTTCAATCTTTATTTGTATAGCGTCGACGCGACTTGTAACAAGTGTTATACCGAGACACTTTACAAAAAGCAGGTAAAAGCCCTTAGTCTTTGTTATTTACATTTGTCACCGACGTCTTAAATGTCGGACATGCAGTATGAGTTGAAACATTACTTGTAGATCTGCTCCGCCTTCTCTCTCATCGTCGCAGCTGCGCCCCACTTCAGGTCTTCACAGCCCTCCCAGAAAGCCAAGTTCTCTCCTGAAAAGGATCCGAATAGAAAAAGAAAACGATGAGAGAATAACTCTGATTAGTCCCATTGAGTGGATACAAAAAGTTGTCGATAATTTAACCATTGTCGGTGTTTTCACACTCACATAAAACTCCTGAAAACTTCCTGAAAGTACCAGGTTGAGCAGAATCTGAATCAACAGAATCACAGAATCTGTTCCCCAACCCTGCTTGTAAAATTTCCACATGTCGCTGGGGTGAGCTGATGTGAGAACGTGGCAGGAAATATTCAGGAACGAGTGAGCAGGAGGGGACGGTGACATTTATATCCTCCGACCGACGCAAGACCTTAGACTGTTTGCTCATTAACGATGTGATCTCTGTGCACATAATGAAGCTGCTTCATTGTGTTTTCAGTCCCCAGTATGTTGCTCTTTTGCTCTTTTGTTGAAATTGTGAATGTGTCACATAGCAGAGATATAAAGAGATATAAAAAATGCACATTATACTTCAAACTCTATTTTTTTTCTACTCATATCTTGCCTTCTAAGGTCCCTCCCCTCCTGTCCAACAGGGATAGTCTCTCGCTATGAGGTGTGAGTATGAACATGCAACATAAGGAAGATTTCAGGGAGAGCATGCCTAAAATTCTCTAAGAATCTGCAGGCATGCATACAGTATGTTAAAAAAACAGATAGTGAAGCAAGTTTACAACAAGAAGACCTCAGTGCTGTTTCACATACTATTTTTTTTTGGGGGGGGGGGGGATATTTGAATTCAAAAGAAAAAAAAATCGTACCGCTGAATTCCTTTTTCAAGAAGAGTCTGAAATCATTTCGTCCTCGGGGGTCTGACAGCAGCTCTCCGAAGCTGAACGTCCACCTCTCCACGCGCATTTTAGTCGGCATTTCCACACTGTCACACACACACACACACACACACACACACACACACACACACACACAACACACACAGAAATAAATTAACTTAACATTTAACCTTCGGTTGAACCTCAATGAATAAAACATCAATAATGGATCATCCTCAGCCGACTCACTTGGGCATGTTCAAGGTCCAGTATGTGGCATCATCGGTGAGCCAGGGGTTGCTGGGGAAACTCCTGGAGAGGAAAGGGTCGTGGCTCTTGTAGGTGGCACAGTACTTCACCAACCTGCCAGAAAAGAGCAAAAAGCTATATATAACGACCGAAGACAATAACGATTAAATCACAGATAATGACGCAGAGAAGACACAGCTGGGCTCCATATTACTCTTAAATGATGAGGTCACCTCCTCATCAGTATACTCAGGTTTGAACTCAATTAGTGGATGTGGAGGATTGTACTTTCAAAAAGTGTCTTGCCCAAATACACATCGGACATGTGGCTGTAGGAGCTGGAACCTCCGACCTTCCGGTTGAGAGACAACCGACTCTACAACTGAAGCACAGCAGCCCTCCAATTTATGATATTTGACACTTTTTCTTTAGGAGGTAATTTTAGTCCTCTTTTGAAATGTATTTTCTCATGCCTTGAATTGCTGACGACATTAACAATCGATCACATGACTTTTGCACTGTCTGCAGAGCTGAAGTGCAGGGTACACTGTGAACATGAAGGACTATAGCTTACGCGCCAATGGACACGGAGGACTTGACTCTGGGCCTCATGATGGACTGCTGCGTGAAGATCATCTACAGGAAACAGAAAAGGGAGGTGACGGTTGTTAAACGTCTCTATGGATACCTGCTAGGTACACAACTTTTCACTCAAGAGCAAAAATGTAACCGGAACATCGCACTCACAATTCTCTCGTAATAGTCCGGAGTTTTTACCTGGGGGAAGAAAGTATGTTAAATGTTAAATGTTAAGTTACAGATAACTTTAAAGATTTATTCAAATTATAAAAATCAATTATCTACTTAGACAAATAATTAAACTGGGTTGAGGGTACTTTATTGTTTCAAAAATCATTGTGAGTTTGTGATTTATCTGAAATTGGCACTGGAGGATATTATCACACACACGACAGCACCACCTGTGGCAAAAAAAGGCTCCTACAACTTCCTTTACATAGACATTAAGACGTGTTGACAACAGACTGAGGTTAAAAAATCACTAGAGTTCCCCCTGAGGGTTGGAACGAGGTTTATGTTTGGGTCGGATTGAGGGTTAAAGGTGTTGTTTCTGGTAGTCAAGGTAACGATTAGGACTAAGAGAATGTATTTTGTCCTGTAAAAAGGAGGTGAACAGGTTTGTTTGCAGGTGTTCTGAATACTAAAAGAAGGCCAGGAGAAATGCCTGCAGAAGAGAAGAAAAGAGAAAAGAAAGAGAGAATTCATGTTAGTAAAAGATGAGTTAGATAATGAAACAGCAGACAGGAGAAGCAAAGAGAAGATAAGTAGCCTATACTGCTCCTGGATATACTGTCTGCATTCAATCCTCTTATTGAATATAAGCTGATCGGGTCAGGATTTATGTTCATAAAGGTCATGCAGGGACTCACCTGTTACCTCATCCCCGTTAGGATCTATTCTGCGATCAAGTCCGTAGTCCATCCCGCTCACTGTCCCTGGCTACACACACACACAAACACACGCGCATCAATAACACAAAAACAAATGTCACAATGTGTGAATACCAACTGGCTAATTAATGAAAGCAGACGGGCGTTTCAAAAATGCTAATCCTCGGCTGCTGTCACACTTTTCACGACCATCTGAGACAACGAGAGGAGCAGTCATGTGTAAACGATTTGATGTAATTCTCTGCCGCAAATATAACAAAGTATTTAGTTGAAGCTGTACTTAGCATAAGCCCAAACCCTGATTATGATTCATATATTAGATAGAAAACTGACTTTGTTTATCTGAACAAATGAGCTCTACGTTCCGGCTGAATTAAGGGAATTTAGAGATCATCACACATCTGGCCTCGTGGTTATTTGGCCTGCAGGATATGAGAATAATATGCATGAACGATTACATGGTTTAGTATAACCATTATTATTTTTTTTTGTAATTTAAGTTAACCTTTATTTAACCAGGAAAAAGTCTCATTGAGATGAAAAATCTCTTTCACAAGAGCGTCCTGGCCAAGACAGGCAGCAGCACAATTACAGGGTTTCAGACATAAAACTCTTAACAACAATTTACATCAATAAAGGAATCACAAAATATATAATCTATATATATCTAAGACGCCAAGTAAAGAGTACTAAATTGTGTGTTCACTCCAAAAAAATTGCACATTTGGTTGGTGTGCGATTTGCGGGGGATCAACTAAGAAAGATTGAGTGAATGATAACAGGAGCAAACCTTGTGGAGGTGTTAGTATATAAAGTTTTTTACTGGTTTACGCCTTCTTTTATTGTGCCTACCTCCTCACTACAAATAGCAGCAGCTATCCGTGCGTAACACTGGGCTCCTGGATTAGCAACTTCCTTTCATAGGTGTTAAATTCAGATACCAATTTTTTTCAGGCTCCGTAAATCCATGTACCAAATTTACTCCTTTGGATTCTCTCCTCCCAGTTTTTAGGGAAGAAACGCCTCAAATTGCAAATTCACTGAGACAAACGTACTAAATGGACAATGTGTGTTGTTTTGCACATTTGAAAGACGCAATCCTCAGTGTGTCGTTAGTGGATCAGTTTGCACATTTGTTTGGGGGTGATATCAAGTTTATACATTTTAACACACGCAAACATTTAGTGAATCAGGCCCACAGTTTCCATATCTATCTTTATATATATGACCCTTTTAAAATCCATAATACATCTAACCGACACAGCCAGGTTAATTGTTGATGCTGTGAAAGAATGGCTGTCATACCCAGGCCTAACAACCAATGTGTAAAATGTAAACACGTGGCAAAAGAAAGCATAACTGGTTCAAATAAAAATGTGTTTATTGTGAATGCTGAAAAAAAAAAAACATGAAAATGTGATTTCTTTGTGTAGTCCTAATGCTGATGTAATGAAGCAGGACAGGCATTAACCTGCATTAACATGTCAGAGGATTGTGTTCCCAAAAACAACTTGAAACGATTAAAAATTCCCACACACAAAAATGTCTCACGGTGAAGCGGCGTCCTTCAGGGACTGAGGGTCTATCAGTAATCCCTCAGGAAACTCAAGACTCACGCTGTCGCTAGCACAAGGTGCAAACCTGTGCGCTACTTTCTCCTACGCAGTGTGAAATATTAATCAGACGTGCCCTTTTCCCCTGACTGGACATGTAATTGTAATGAGGCATCATGGGTGGAGATAATTAGATAACCTGGGGAAGTAAAGAGGTGGAGGGCAATTTATTCTGCAGGCCTCTCAGTCTGCTGTCAATCCACTGATACCTACATGAAGCGACATCCTGTTTGTGTCTGATGACTATCTGTGTGTGTGTGTGTGTTTGTGTGTGTGTGTGTGTTTCTTCTCACCGGAGGTCTGTGAACCACCCAGTACGCTCTCTCCTGGCACTCAAACACAACACGGTCTGGTTTCTTCCTCTCCTTTGCAGCTCTTCAAAAAAAAAGAAAAATCCCACAAACACACAGCGTTGTAACACCTTCAGGATCTTTAAAGCGAGCGATGTCGCTGTGTTTCATTTCACACCCACCTGTACTGTTCTTTTGCCTGCATCACTATGAAATCCCATTTGTGATTCATCCACTTGTGAAGACGGTTATACTGCTCCTGGGGACACAAAAGTAACGTCTGAGGAAATGCCAGCAAAACCAAATGTCTTAGTCACAGGTCTCTGTGTGTGTGTGTGTGTGTGTGTGTCATCCTCACCTGTTCGTGCAGCTCCAGGAGGCCTTTCTTACGTATGTTTCTTTTTGCCAGATATATCGCTTCAATAACAGAACAGGAAAGAGTGTTAACTAAGGAATAGAGGTCAGAAATAAATGTTTTTAAACTGTTTTTTGCTCACCGTAATCTGTATCCTCGACAGGCCACTGCTGTGCCGGCCAGAAATACGGTGTCTGCAAAGGACAAAAGACACAAAACACAAAGAGAACTGTTGGATTTGTTTGTTAAACGCTGGAAACCAAAGCAAGACTCATTTAAAGTTATAGATCAAAACATGAATAGACATGAATAGCAAAGAGTCTCACATTGTCGTAACTTCTCTTTTCATAGGGAGTAGAAAATATGAAGTTTACACAAACTAAGCTCCTCTTTAAAGATTCATTGATCCCTCCTTTATGAAAAACAAACTTTTCGGTTGAATAAATGACTTTGATGATGTTCTAAAAGCTCTGCTGCCTGTATTTCTGCATGGCACTATTTTTAGATCTTCATCTTCTATGTAAGTTACTAACCGCATGTTCTCGTGGGAGCTCCCGAGCTCTCCTGTCTCATAGGTTCACGGGCAGGGACGACCGTTCTTTAATTCTGTCCATTCATTGAAATGTGATAAAAAGGTGCATTACCTCGTTTTCCTATATTCAAACCTAGGAAACCTCAAATGTGTTTGAATAGTCAGTGATGTTTCCCCAAGTGTTCTTGAAGACTTCTCCTTTTTTACATCAAAGGAGAATTGTGGGATTTCCACATCTGTTACTGAAACTAAAATCAGCATGCTTTAATTCTTCGAAACATACTTTGTTTTTAAATAATGTTGCAGTCTTACAACCATTAGATACTTTTGTCTACCTATAGGCAGCTGAGTCGCTTCATTTTTTAAATATTTCGAGATCAGTGGTGTTTACTGGTAGATGTCTTTCAACTGTTTTTGTTGGGAATAAAACAAAAACCGGAAAAAATATAATATAAATATTGCTCATTACTGCTACTAGTGGCTAAAAATTGAACATGGCCTTTTAAGAGGCAGACACTTGTATACTGGACTATTAACCTGGACTTATTTATTTAACCTTGAACCTGTGCAATCTGTCTGCAAACCGGTCAAATATTGTCATATTGACCATTAACAATATGCAATATCTGTTTAACACAGCTCATTGTGTATATTAATAATTGTAAATATTGTTTACATCTTAAGTCACTGTGCTTTGTACATAGCTTATTATCTTATCGTACTTGGTACTTATTTCATATTTTATTGCTTATTTTATTATCTCTATTCTATTTAATTTTTACATCTTAAATTATTTATAGATTTCCTACTGCTGCAATGTGTTGAAGAGCAACGGTAACAACTATTTCTGATTCTGGTAACATTTCCTGTCAATAGTGCAACAACTGGAAACAAGCCTAGAAATAGGTTTGGAAGAAAGCTGTATGTATCTGATGTTTTTGCTAAGGTTTTGGTAGTGTGGTGTGTTTACCTGGAAGCGATAAAGAGATGCATCTGGTTTGATCACTAAGCGTTTATGGTCTTGAATGGGGTAGATGTATCCTAACGCCACAAGCATGGTGCCCAAATTCTTTGCCTCTGAAGAAAAGAGAAATAAAGAGCAGCGAGATTTAAACAGCCTGTGTGACGTTTCTGCTGATGTTCACGTCAAAGAAAAGTTCAGGGCCAATAGTAATTATTTAAAAGGACATAGAGTTAGACTTGACAAGAAAAACAGGATATTTAAAACACACTTTTTTTTTATATATTCCGTGTACCTTATGAAGACATTAGCTGACTCATCTCTTACCTTGTGCATCTATTTGAAATCTGTCCGCTAACCATGCGATTATGTCTTCACCTGAGGAAAAAGACGGAAATGATGAGGCAGAGGTGACAAAATAAGCAGCTCTGAGGATGAACATCGAGAAACAAGTGATGTGTGTTTCTGTGTGTCATTATGTAGGTGGGTGGTTGTATGCATCCAAATGTCAGACCCCCTCCAACACGCCATGAGTGTCTGCGTCAAAACCCTGAGAGGATCTATAGCTAATGTAGGGAGACAGATGGAGGGAGGGGGAGGAGGAGAAGGGAGAAAAGGAAGTCTGTGGATACTAAAGGATAAGGAAAAAAGGAGGAGAGCCGGACCGATTAATCAGCTGGCCGATAATATTGGCCAATATTTGCATGTCACATGACTATCTGTATCGGCTAATTTTACCTCCCTAGTTTGCAGATATAGCTACGGGTTTTATTTATTTTTATATATCTTATTTTTTTATAATTGTAAATGTCTAAGTAAAAATTTGTGTTCCAGTGTACTGTTGTTATTTTGGACAATAAATCTAAAAAAATCTTGACTTGAAGTGTTTGATAACTGCGTTTGAGGAATTAATGCAATAAATATGTGTGTATAACAATATTTATCGATTTTGGAAGACCGAAAAAAGATCCAAGAAAGATATCGGTCTATATATCGGTATCAGACTTTTTTTCTCTCCCTAATATCGGTATCATCACCAAAAATTCCATATCGGTCAGGCTCTAAAAGTGGAGAAAAGAGGAGAGAAAAGTAAGAACAAGAGAGCAGTGGATAAGATGGTAGAGGAGAAGGAGGCAAGGAGAGAAAAGGGAAAGGAGGGAGAGGAAACAAAGGAGCAAAAATGTAAAGACGAGTAGAGTAAATGAGATGTGAAAAGATGATAAGGATAAAATAGGAAAAGTAATAGAATACAAGAAGAGCGATAGAAAGGAGGTGAGGAAAGGATACATAAGAATGAAAAGAAAAAGAAAAGAAAAGATTAAAAATGTAGGGAAGAGAGGAGAGAAAGACAGGGAAGGAAATGAGAAGAGGAAAGAGCCAAGGATATAAGTGAAGAAGAGAAATGAGACAAACAATGAAAAGGAATTTAAATAAAAAGGAAAAAAATAAAGGAGAGAAGGGAAGAAGAGGGAAGGAAACACAAAAAAAAGGAATGAGAGGAACTAAGGACAGATAAGAGGAGACTAGCTAATTAAAGACATTGAGGGAGGAGTAGAGAAGAGAAAGAGAAGAGAAGAAAGGAAAGGAAATAAAAAAGAAGGAAAGAAGTGGAGGAAAGATGACTTAAGAGAAAAAGAGAAAAAAAGGAAAGGAAGAAAGAAGAAGGAGAGGCAATAAAGAAAGGAGAGCGAATGAGACAAAAGAAAGACAAAGTTAAAGGACAAGCACAGAAAGGAATTAAGAGAGGAGATTAAAAAGAAGTGGTAAGGAGTCAAGAGTGCATGTTTTCTCGGTTGAATCTGTCAGTAACAGAATCGCTACGAGCTGCCAGAGCTGCGGGTCAGTCCTCAGTTCTATTACTGCTAGACCTGTCTGCTGCCTTTGACACAGTCAGCCATCAAATCCTCCTATCCACGCTCTCTGAACTTGGCATCTCAGGATCTGCCCTCTGCTGGTTCGTGTCCTACCTCTCTGGGCGATCCTTTAGCGTGTCGTGGAAGGGAGAAGTGTCCAAAGTGCACAACTTATCCACAGGGGTACCTCAAGGGTCAGTGCTTGGTCCCCTTCTCTTCTCCATATACACAAACTCACTAGGTTCAATAATCCGCTCTCATGGCTTCTCATACCACTGCTTTTCCTGTCATTCCCACCAGACAATGTTACAGTCTCTGCAAGAATCTCGTCATGCCTTGCTGATATTTCTAAATGGATGAATGAACGGCACCTTCAACTCATACCTTTCAAAGACTGAGTTCCTTGTCATCCCAGCCAGTCCCTCTATGCAACCACAGATCAATATCCAGCTTGGAACAACCAAACTCATGCCCACAAAGTCTGCCCGGAACCTGGGTGTCATGATTGATGACCAGCTAACTTTCAAGGTTCAAGTAGCCTTGATTGCCCGGTCATGTCGATTTGCCCTGTACAACATCAGGAAGATCAGACCTTACCTGTCAGAACATGCTGCACAGCTCCTGGTACAGGCTCTTGTGATATCACGCATCGACTATTGCAACTCTCTACTGGCAGGTCTTCCTACATGCACTATCAAACCTCTGCAAATGATACAAAATGCAGCAGTAAGACTGGTCTTCAACCTTCCTAAAACAGCACATGTCACTCCGCTGTTCATCTCCTTACACTGGCTCCCAGTTACTGCTCGCATCAAATTTAAAACACTCCTGCTCGCTTACAAAACAGCAACAAAAACGGCTCCTCCTTACTTTAACTCCTTACTACACTCCCCCCCGCCCACTACGCTCTGCCAATGAAAGGTGTCTGATCCAACCTTCACAACAGGGTCCTAAGTCTCTGACTAGACTCTTCTCCTCTGTTGCCCCCGGTGGTGGAACGAACTTCCAAACTCCATTCGATCTGCAGATTCCCTCTGCTCCTTTAAGAAAAAGCTAAATACCCAGCTCTTTCATGAATACATACTAACTTAATGATGATGGTCTCTATATTATTGATGATGATGATGGTTGTGACGATTGTTTTTGTTTGATAACGATGACTTTGATAAGATGGTTTCTATACTGATTAGAGCTCTCAAGAACTGCCGTCAATGTTGTGCTTTGCCTCTGGTCACTTCCTGTCAGCACCTGTGTGTCCAATCAGACTCAAAGCTGATTGTTTGCTCTTACTGACATTGTTCCCTTTTTTCTAGATCCTTGCTTGTGTTGTACTTACTCTCTGATGTACGTTGCTTTAGATAAAAGCGTCTGCTAAGTGAATTGTAGAACTGTAGAATTCATTCAGCTGTTTTAACCTGCCTGTATTCAGAGCTTGCAAATGACGCAACAGTCTGGGTTTCCTGTTCCCTCCTCCTTCACCTCTTTGTTGCTGTTTCTCTTGTTTTTTCCTCCTGTTTCTATCTCTATTTCTTGCTCTTTCCCTCCTCTCTCCCACTCAATCATCCTCCTCCTCCTCCTCCTCCTCCTCCTCCATCACCCCCTACTTTTCTCTCTCCATGACTCTGAGACCGTGGGGGTTGTCATGGAGATTAAATCTGTAGCTCTCTAGTTTGAGGATACCACAGCGTCGGTATCTTACACTGAGGATATGCGGGCACAATCACTCAACTGGCAGCTGAATTACATTAAGTGTGTACTACTATGTAAGTGTATGTCTATTTGTCTTTGTGTGTCTTTACCAGTAATAGCGTGTGGTATCGTTGTGATAACCAGTCTCTGAGGCTGTGACTTCACTCCTGTTTTGGGGTCCTGCATCTCCAGCACCACCTTCTCTGCCTGCAAAAGGAAAATAGTAAGGGTGGAGAAGAGGTTACCATCGCAACTGACTATAAGTAGAATAGTCGTGGGCACAGGTTCAACATGCAAACAGACTGCTTTGACAACAGGTTTTTGTGGCCAGCTTTATTGGGGGGGAAACTAGGGCAGAACATATTGTAACTTGTGGATATGAAAGAATGCACAATACATAATGGTGATGACAATAGTTATCATTGTCAACATGCACAACATCACCGCTAACCTGTTTTTAATGAAGGCTTGGGGAAAGATTAGCACCTACTTTAGATCTTTTGCCTCTGAGGTTGAGCTCAGGGTGAGAAGCTATCAAATCCTGTCTTAATGTTGAACTAGCCCAACATGTAAGCAGTACCTAATGGTCAATATCATTTCAGCCCTTCTCAATAATTTAGTACCAAAAAAGACAATCGATAATGAAAATCTCAGGGTGGATCAGGCCATATTTCTAGGTAAACAACAGCTCAAACCAGCAAGCATTTCCTTTTTAATTATTTTTATTTCTGGCCTTTTTGTGCCTTTATTTGAGAGACAGTGGATAGAGTCTGAAATCAGGGAGAGAGAGAGTTGGGAATGACACGCAGGAAAGGACACACAGGTGGGATTTGAACCTGGGCCACTCGCTTGGAAGAACACAGCTTCCATGCATGGGACGCGCGCACTAACCACACGCGCCACCAGCGCGCCAAACTAGCAAGCATTTCCGAGCCAACATGACTTAACACGTATGTGACATTACAAGCTATTTTTAAAGCTAATAGTACATTATTTTATCAAGGAACATGATCCATATTTTTCTTAAGCTACCTTTAGACAACAGCTAACACTGACATTCAAACAAATACTGAATTAAAAAACTTTAACTTTACAATAGCTAGTTTGTAAGTTAAAGTTCGTAACATTATGTTAGCTAAGAAATTAAGACTTTCTTTAGACAACAACTAAAACTATTAAAGCAATTCCTACAAAACATTATAGGCAAACATAATGTTAAAGAGCAAGCACATTAGCTATTTGTTCCAAGCTATACCATTAGATTATGTTAGCCACTAATTTGCCTTTAGCTACCTTTAGCTAACTTAAGACAACAGCATTCACTTCCAGGATAACATTATCAGTGTTTCCCTAGGTTTACAGTGTTGGGGTTAGGTGGGGGACACGCCGACACGCCGACACGCCAACATGCCGAAACAAACACTTGAAGGAATCTTGGTGTTCAGGGGTTACTTTTACGGACAGCTGTCTTTTTCTATCGGAAAGGTATCCTTAAATTACTTATTTCCCTGATTTCCGACTATATCCACTATCCTATCCCTACAATAAAAGGCACAAAAAGAAATCAAACATTTTTTTACTTGACCTTTTACTTGCCCCCCTAATATAATGGTAGGGGAAACACTGATTATGTAAGCTAACATTACATAAGCTAGAAAGAACGAAACTATGAAGTTGTTCTTAGTTTACTTTGTGTTATCGTTCATCGCAATATCAAGCTTTTATCAACTTTAGCTAACCCTAAGTATTTAAGTAATTTTGAAATTACATGGCCTAATGTAAGCAAATTTAAGCTAATTACCATGTAAGCTATTTGCTTCAAGCCTACATTACGTCAACATATCTGAGAATTTAACCTTCCTTACCGTTAGCTTTATACAACAGTTAATACATGCATTCAAGCGATTCCTTGATAATATTATGTTCACTAACATCACTTGAGTTCGTAAGATATTAATTACTGGTAGTTATTTGTTTCAAGCTAACATCATCAATCTTTATTTGTAGAAGCAATTCGTAACAAATGTTATGTTTGCAAGGAATGTAAGCGTTTCCTATATGTGTAAAACTACCTAATGTAGCTTTGCATTAGCTTTCATCCACATATCTTAAGATATGACCAGGTTTCCATTTGGATTTTAACAGTGCAATTTGTCCAAATTGTCCCCATGGGAAAAGAAGTCTCTCTATCAAACATTGTAATTAATACTTCTTAGTAGACAGTGTTGGGTACTTATGAGTTCAGCTATTAAGTCCCAAAACGACTCTGCAATGGAGCTTTAAAATTGAATTGAAACAGGGCATGAGGTGAATAATCGTTTGCTTCATGACCTGATCTCTTGCCTTTGTTCTGCTTGTGTGGGAGGTTTGCTGTGACTCATGCCCTGTAAACTGTTTCTTTAGTTTAGCTGATCCCACAGCTGCCACAGCAGATCCCATGCACAGCTCAGGTGTGTACTGGAAAGCAAGGGAGGACATTAATTCAGTTTGTGTGCGCAAAAGAGAAAGAATGGTGTGTGTGTGTGTGTGTGTGTGTGTGTGTGTGTGTACAGATGATTCCTGGGCCTGTTTAAAGTGGCTTTGTGCTTTGAAGTCATCCTGGAGAGACAATTAGCTCAATTGCAGAGGTGCACTAAAGTTGGCTTTCATGCACCGAAACACAAGGTTCTCTGAAATGACATGAGCTGTCTGTGAGCATGGAGAGTGGGACATTAAGACTATTAGATCTGGGGTTAATAGAATCTGAAAAAATAACAAATGAGGGAGCTGTTTACCTAATTATTTCCTGCATAACACATCCAAACGATGCTTCTCTGTGATTAAAAGATTATCCCACTCCTGAAGAAAACGGATAAAATACGATATGATGAATCATGCCCCACTTTGTTGTTTGTAACACTCAGTGTCTGGCTTAACTTCTCTCCAGCGGCTGGCTAGTGTGGATGGACACACTGATACTGATCCAGGCTTAATGCTTATTACACAGAACAACCTTATCACTGTGATAAGGTTGCAACATGCACGAATTGAAAATGTACTTTGACAGACAGATGCATGCAATTAAATTATACCTGAGTGTTTTGATGGCTTTTGGTGTTGCATATTGCATAATACTTGGTTGTTTTGAAATTGTATTATCTTGTAAATTCTTATGAATCTTGTAACCAAATAAAGATTTTAACTGATTTTTTTTAATAAATATCTCTCATCTGTTGTGTTGCTTTTCCTGCAATCATTCTGTCGTCCAAATGGATCTTGTAAGCTTTTTTTTTCCTGCAAAATTGTTCAATCATCTTATACAAACATCAGGGAAACCAGGACCAGAACATTAATTTTAAAAGCTACGTTGTTTTTATATGCAAATGCCATTAGAAGATGTTTGTGAGGTTGCAGACAGCCCAAGCATTGGTTTTGGAGAATCAGTGTAACTGACATATCAACAGATGCGTGTGCAGGTATCGTCTGCAAACCTGAGCATACATCCCTGATGTAAAATAACAGCCTACCTTCTTGAGACAAGCCATCCGTGGGCGATACCTTTGTCCATGATCACGAAGAGTGTTTCTTATGGTCATGATGTCTGCTGCTGTTCACTCTTTCATACACATTCAAACAATGTAACTGTCGCCTGTGAGCCCTGTGTCGTGTGGAGATGCTTGATTGGAAGTGCAATGATCGATACTGATGGTGCGTTCAGGTATTCGAAATAACTCCGATTTGTAGGGTTGGAAATCGTAAACACGCCGTTACATTTTTATCGAGTGCCTTAAAATCGACTTTATAATAAGTTAAATTTTCTGCCAAAGTGTATGTATGACCTTTCTCTATGATACTATTATAAAAAATAAAAATACAAATCTGTTATATTCTCAAAAAATGATATATAACTAGGCCAATAAAGAAAAGGAAAAGGAATCATAAAAACAAGATCTTGTTAATCAATTATTATACATCATTATATAATGTGGGGGAAAAAAACACTCGTGAAAAGAAAATCTGAGCTTTCTCTTCGGAACTACTTGTTTAAAAAAAAAAAGATCTTTTGTAACGGGTTCAAGTAGAAACACTCATATTTCCATTTGCCTGTGAATGCACCATATCTAAAAAGGAAAGGGGACGCAACCAATCACAGTGCGGCTTTTTTCTATCAGGGCAAAACGTGTTACGCAATTAACACACCGAACCAGCAGAGGGCGACATGGTAACACCATTAAAATGTGGTGTAATGATTTTCTGGCTACAAATTCCGATATTTTACAGATGTGTCGAGATGTGTAAGTAATTCCAAAATGTGAGGATGTGTGTAAAAGACCGGAGCAGTTACGTAAAAGTCACTTAAAGATTGATGGTTAAACAGTCATTCGGCGCTACTTCCGGAGTTTAGGGAAGGGGCTTGGTCCCGTGCCTGCGCCCCGCGAACGCGCATCAAATCAGCATCGATGAAGTTTGTGCGAACATGGCGGATTTCCTGCCGACCAGGTCCGCGTTAAAAGTTTTTCTGCCCGTCTGCCTGCTGAACAACAGCGAGGTCGACCAGCTTCGGAAGTCCAGGGAGATCGACAGATGTCTCTCCCGGGAGAAAACGTACGTGAAGCGGCTGGTGAAGATCCTGCTGCTCGGCGCTGGCGAGAGCGGCAAGTCGACTTTCCTCAAACAAATGCGGATCATCCACGGCCAGGACTTCGACCAGCAAGCCCGAGAGGACTTCAGAGCCACTATATACAGCAATGTTATTAAAGGTAACTTCAGATATTTAAAAAAAAACAACATAATGGTTTTTCTCTGCGGTAAAAAAAAAAAAAAGTAAAGGGAAAGTTTCCACATCTGTTGAGCAGCGCAGGGGCTGGGTGAGAGGACACACACACATAAACACACTACATCTGCTGCAGGCACACCCTTTATCAACCATGTTTCTACTTCAAAAAAAAGTCCTAATAACTGTAAAGTCATTGTGTATCTGCTGGTAATAAATGTGTGTGGTCGGTGTTGAATACCAGCCAGCAAGCTCAAATAGCCATAGGCAAGTTTTTGTTGCTCAATAACTCAGCTAGGGATGTAAAGTCAGCTAATGGAGGGTGAACCTACGGGTGCATTGTGTTGTTAGGTGTTCCTGTTTGACCACTCTTTGTATGTGCAGGGAGTACACTAAATAAGTAGGTAATTCCTGCAGTACACTGCCTATTTGTGTAAAACACAACTACACGAAACAACAACTGGAGCTGTCACATTTAAACGTAGAAAAAAAAAAATCCTCAAAAGCTTCCCTCGTGTGTTTATTGCAAGGTCAGGTGTTGCTGAGTGTTTTCCCCTGGCCCTGTTTATTTATTGATTAAAGCTGTTTATTTGGGTTTTTTTTTTTAATGTGTTTATTAATTAAGCTGTATCAAATATTTTTAAATAATTTAAGATATGTTTGTTGTCACGAAATATTGTTGGAGCAAGCCTGTAGATGCCTAATATCAGAAAATATTCAAATAAGAAATTCAATTAAATAATATGATATAGTATACAATATACAGCTAATGTTTTTCTCTTATTTAAGTGAATGTGTTTTTTGGGGTTTTTTTTTAACTCTGTGATACCTTCAAATCATCTTTCAATGATAATTTCTAATCTGAATCTGGTTGTTTTGTTTTATTTTATTTAAAATTAAAATTTGTTTTTTTGTTTGTTTGTGAAAAGCAGGCTTAAGGCATTATTATCCGTCATGTTGGTACAATGGCTGACATTTTATTAGATATTTTAGAATCCAATTGTTTTTTTTAGCTTTTTAAAGGACACTCACAATTCTGCATATTTTAATCGTATCAGTCAGTTAATGCAAAACCGAAGCTGGGGACACGCAGATTACTTTTCACCTTTAAAAAATGTCTTCTTTTTTTTTTTTACTTTTTTTTTACACATGTTGTCAGAATAAACAAGCTCTGAAAACGTGTCGTTCACGTGCTCTGCTCTTCTCTCTCTTCCACTCTGGGTTTCATCTTCTCGACAAAGATGCTCTCTAACTTTGATTTTTTTTTCTTCTTTCTTTTTTTTCTCCTGTCACTTCCTCTTCAGGTATACGAGTGTTGGTGGACGCCCGGGAGAAGCTGCACATCCCGTGGGGTGACCCGGACAACCAGCAGCACGGGACAGCGTGATGGCGTTCGACACAAGGTCGGCTAAAATGGCGAGCGGGCTGCTTGAGACGCCCGTTTTCTTGCGGTATTTTCCGGCTATCAAGGCTCTGTGGGCGGACTCGGGTATACAGAACGCATACGACCGTCGCAGAGAGTTTCAGCTGGTAGGTGAACGTACACGCACGCGCACACACACATACACACACACACACACACACACACACACACACACACTGAAAAACTCATAACTAAAGGATGACCTCACAACTCACTTATACATTTCTTAATATGACTCTACTACACAAAGCTCTTCTAGATCACCAATTCCAACACACAAGTTTAAGGCAGATTTCTGGTTCTCCTTTTTGAAGTTTTAGAGAATTCAAATGCGGGGAACTGCTTTCAAATAGAAAGTGAAACTCTCTAAATTCATCCTCCCTTTCCTCTCTCCCTGTATCTTTTGCTCTGGCGCTCTCTCTCTCTCTCTCTCTCTCGTCTCGCTCTCTCTCAACGTCGAGCAGTCAGACATGTGATTGAGTCAGCTTCCTGTTTATACCTCTCCCGCTCCTTATGTCTTGGCTGTCAGCACTCACGTTTTAGCACACTGACGTTTGCCCCAGAACAACAGCTGTGGCGTTCACACGTCCTTTCTGGGCCTTCTCTGCACTCTCACTTTTGATCTGTGTTACTTTCACAACCTGCTGAGATTTTTAAAGTTACTATTTGCGCTCTCTTGTATTAAATCATGCAGCGTGTCAGGTCTCGTGTAGAAATGTATATGTTGTGTAGGAGTTAACCCCCCCCCCCCTCCTGCTGAAGAGAAAGTTATGGACACACTTCTGCAAGTTGGTTTCAGTTATGAGACAAAAGCACAAAAAAAAGAAAAAGTTTTTTTCCTGTGAGTTGCATAAGGCCGGACTGTTCTCAATGGCGTTTTGTTAGCCTCTCACACATTTGCTGGTGTGAGCAGGTTATGCAGACAGAAAGGGGAATAAAGGGTGATCAGAGCTGGAATGTTGATCTGTAGTTAAACAGCTTTACACTTACAAACAGAGCTCTGGCTCAAACACTCAAACACTCACACCTCAGGTTACACAAGTACAGCCACACATGGATATATTCTGTTTACAACGTATCATTATTTTAATATAGTCTTGTATTCAAATGGCTCAACGTAATGATTGATTGGTCAGATGAAACAACATGACACCCCCCCCAAAGGCTCCAAAAATGACTTGAGATAAAGCAAAGAAGCAGCCGGGAGTCACCTCGTAGTAGGGCTGGGTATTTCCCACAACCACACGATACGTATCACGATACAGAGGCCAACATACGATACATATCGGGATATACATTCTCTATTGTTGAGAAGAACAGCAGAGGCGTTTTAAGGATCCTACAACTTAAAACACTTCAACTCAGGTCCTCAGAGATCCAAGAAATACATCAAATATTTTAATCTCAGAGCTATGGTGTTATTGTGAACTGCATCACAGGTCAAAAGTCTTTTAAAACTGACAGCTTTGCAGCCATGTATCCATTCTGTCACATTTGCAGCGATACATGAATTTGAAGGAGCACATGACGATTAATGCCATATTGGGTTTTTTTTCCGTAGAGACCTAAAAAAGGGAATATAAGTTGATTTTCACTTCAGAAGTAATGATTAGTTAATAATGAAGAGGATTCTGTAAATGTTGAGTATTTTAGGTTGTGCAGATCTCAAGTTAACGATGATTTGATATAAGACGTTTACTGGATTTTAAAAAGTCTGCCATTATTTTGATTGAAAAAATTTTATCAGTGTGGATCAATATAAGATGATATCAGATGCAAAATTTTAAATATAGATTTGTATCATCTCGTAAAAAGCCGTACTAACAGATCATGCTGAATAAGTGATCGTTAAACTTAAGTACTGATCCATATTAATGAGTGTTAATACTTAATGCTGGCAAGTTGTTGAGCGACGTGCAGTTTGTAACACTTGTCTCTGCCAACTTTTTTTTAAAGAAAGGGACAACTGGCAACAATTAAATTCATCCAATCATATTTCTGGTTTGAAAAACAGACACAAATAATTACAAAGACGTGATTTTTTTCCCTATCAGTGCATTTCTAAAAGGCGGATAAGTCGATAATGAAACTGATCATTATGGTGTAATCAATCAATCTTTATTTTTATATTGCCAGTTCAGAAAAAAAGTTATCTCAACATTTTACATAAAGCAGGTGAAAGAAAGTCAATGCAGTGACTCCAGTCTCAGTATGTAAACGTCACTTCCCCCCCCCCCCCCCCCCCCGTGGCTGTTTGCATTCACACATTCAGCTCCTATATCCGGAGTTTTCTGCTAGTGTGAGAACCGTAGAGGCAGAAAACTCGAGCAAAACCCGACTCGTGATGAGCGGCTGTCTTCCTAAACTGCGCCGGGCTTTTCAAATGGGAGAGAAGGAGATGCAGGAATATGGATAGGGATGAACAGAGCAGCAGCAACAATGAATACGATTCATAGCTTCAATGTTGGTAATCATAGGAGCCCATCACAGGATATGAAACCTTGATATTCATTCTAAAACCCGAGGGCATTGACAGTCTGAGACGGATGTTTCTACGCCTGAAAGTCGATCTTTCTGGACTATATTTTCCCCGTGCTCTTGTGCTGATTTGTCTTTCTGCCAGCAGAGCACTACTCATCGTGTATTGACGATGCCTTGGAGCGTATTTGCATCACA